AATTGTTCACTACATATATATATATATATATATATATATATATATATATATATATGTATATTTTTTTTCCTTTTATTTTTCCCATTATTTATTCAAGTATACGTTGCTTTGCAATGTCATGGATTTTATTTTTGTACTATATATCGTATTGAAAGTTATGACAATTTTTCAATGGTGATAATAATTTTTGTGTTATCAAAACAATATCTGGATTTTAATTATATTTTGTTTACATAACATTATTTTTTTTAAGTATTTTCATATTTATTAAAATCATAAACACATCGAAATTTTAATTAAATTTGTTAATTAAATGAAGTGTAAGAACAGGAAAATAAATCGAGCAAAGGAAGTATAATCAAGACCTGAGTTAAATTTAATATAGTAGGAAATATTGTTAGAACAAATAGTTTCATGCATAACCATGATAATGTTGAAGATATAGATTTTTTTTTTTTTTAATCAACTTTTAATTCAACTACTGCACAAGTTAGTTGGCAGATGTGTACATACATTGTCTACTCATACAATTATTAACAACTACAAAATAGAAATTCCATTCGTTTAAAATTCATTATTTTTATATTATCCAACATGCAATAATCAAATAAATGAAGCTTATCACGAGTCAGATATTTAGTATGATATCTTTTTAAATTTAGCGAGTTCCTATTTATTTACTCTTGTCTCACCATTCCAATTCACCATGGCCCTACACAATTCTCAGCCTCTAATTGCTGGAATTACATATATATATATATATATATATATATATATATATACATAATTAATAAACAATTATGATGTGCCGAAATAAGTGAGACGGTGAATATAGAAATCAAAGCGTTAGGATTCAGTAACGTGTAATGCAAGTTGATGAGTAGAACAAAGTTCATTATTAAGGAACATAAAGTCGGTGGAAGGGAAGCTCTTGCCTAGTTTCGCTTTAATTAATGCACAAATGTGGTGTGCGGCTGTGCTTCACAGCCGAATATTTGCACTTGCAATTTAATTTCATACGCCTCTACTATTCAGATGTTTCCACTCGTGTCGTGATAAAGCTTGTGCCTGTTGATACGTACTTTTGAGTATTCTCTTTTGTTGTTCAGATTCGTAAAATGATAAATCTTCGCTGAATTGACGAAAATGTCTGTTAAAAGATTCGTTGCTGGTTGGTATTATGATGATTTGTCGCCAAAACAGAAAAATGTTTTCCTTAGTTATTTTGCAAATGTGATGCCTTTAGAGTTTATTTACATCGTATGCAAAAAAGAAAAACAATGAAGCCTTTGCAAAAGACTATTTTCAAATTCGAATTCTCTATTATTTTTTAAAAAGCAATTAAATATTATGTAATAGATTTAAATCCATAATTACGGAATTCGATCGATCGTTTGGAATTATTAGTTGATATTAAACTAGAAGAAAAAAAAACAATGAAATTTTATACCTTAATATATTACTTATGATAAAATTGTGATAATTTGTAATACAAAAAACTCGACCATAAGAATAATTTATTTTTAAAAATATTAATTTAAGCAAGTTCTAAGGAAACTGATATTAATTTTAAAAATCATTATTTATTTGTTTGTTTTTTTTTTCAATAAAATGACCTTCAAATTTTAAATCGCTTTGCAAAAATATTATTTCTTTTTATTAATTTATGCGTGCAAAATAATTACTGCATTTTCTTCTAATTCACACATTATTTATAATTTTATATACTTTCTAGCATAAAATACATTTTACACAATACACAGCAACCTTGAAATACTTAGTAAAAAAATTATTATCGGAATAATTAGAACAATAAACTAATTCATTGGAATTGTTAGTCTAAATATTTATTAGAAGTATTGGTTCTATAAGATTAACAATTATAATAGATAAGTAAAAATTAAATTGTGAAATGTGATTCACAACATAATTATTAATAATAATAATATGAATTACTTATTCATGATGCAAAGTCTGGTCAATAAAAATGTTCAAAATAAATTGTTTAATTGGAAATGAATGTTACAGTGGTGTTGAAATAATTATAAGTAAATTGCTTAAATTACTGTATGTAGTGTCTGTTAATGGAGGTATCATGAAATAATTCCACAGGGCTGAAATTTATGAAATTTCTTGATTTATTTGGCTCTGTACAGTTTTACTACAAATGTAATATTGACAGTAATAGTACAATTATTATTTGTATTTATTGTAGCGATCACTGCGTATGTTGTGGAACAGATAATTTTCAAGTGCATTTTTTACGATATTGCAGTTTTTCACTTGACACTTAACATTCGCCATACGTTTTTTGTCTTTATGTTTTATAAAATTGCAAATTCAACACCGATCAAATTTTATATGGAGAAATGGAAATAGTGAATATTTAGAAATATTTCGCAAACAATCGTGATTAATAATTTTTTCTACAAAATTATTTATTTTCTTATTTTTTAATCAAAAGTTAGAGTGCCAAGTTTTCTTTCTTACTTTCCTTTTTTTCTTTTTTTTTTCATGAAAAATACAGTATGAAAGTTGCATAAATTCTTTTGTTAAAAAAACTATAGAAGACATTATATTGAAAAATTTTTCGGTAACACGTAGACTTTTTTTTTTATACATTTATACGATCACGATTCACAGCGATTAACATTAATCGATATTTATTGATGAAGATGTTAAAGAGATTACATCGGTTGCACATCCCATCTCCCCTTGGGTCAGACGTTACAAAATTGAGTTTTCTTTTTTTTGTTTAAACTTTTTCTTTATTCCCCCTGTTAAATACTGTAGAGTAGTTGGCGAGTTACATAGCTAACTAAAAATACTTACAAATTCTAGGGTCCTTATACTTGAGAATTTCTCGATTCTTTTATATATATATATAGCTTATTATAAATTTTATATTTATATATAAACATATTACAGAAAAGAGTTATCGATTATTGTTTACATTATATTATAATCTTTCATAGAATCGGCGTTTTTGGTGCTACGCCGTTTTTTTTTCTTTCTCGAAATGGAAAAATGTACATATGTCGTTGCTGATGAATCACACGTGCGCTCAGAATTCTCAAACTTCTGTTTATAATAAACTCTCAACATTCAAAGCACGAAAAAAATACTAGCACTCATACATGCACACAAAATACGTAGCCCCTTTCGCACTCCCGTACATACACATTCAAAGATCCCGAGAACAATGGCCAAGCCAATATTAGAAACCATTTTTAAAGTTGAAAGAAAGGACAGGAGTTGTAACGCGAGTGTCTCCATAGGAGAATAACGTTCAACGAAGTATTATTTTAAGCATTTTTTTCTTTCCTTAATACATACACGGGAAATATCCTAACAAATGTCGTTTAATTGTCGGATTTATCGAGCGAAGAAAATCCTAGCTTTTTAGCTGTGCTAATACGATACCCCTTCACTTATTTCTTTCATTAAAATGTTTGTTTAGCGTTACTTCAACACGTAAGATTATGTATAATCTTAACGATCGATATAATATATTTCTTTAATATAATTGTTCATTTATATAATATTTATATTATCGCTACGACGTCATCTGTAATTTTTCTCCCTTCCTTAATCTTAATCATTCGCCTTCCTAATTTGATCTTATCTTATTTCAATCTTTTAGCAACATCGATGCAAAATAAATCACAATTGTTTTGATTTTTTTCAGCAAAGACCATTGATGCATTCAAATTCAGCCATTTTCATGCTTTTGTTTATTATACTCAGCTCTAAATGTATTAGTTTTTAAGTAAGCATTCACATTTACATATCCACTTCTTCATCTTATCGTAATCAATGGAGTATTTTGGTTTCACTCTACGATTCTCGAAAATTTTTTTTCAAGCTCTTGCTGCACTAACTACAATTTATTGACGATTCGCAACCTGTCTTTTAAATATTAAGTATGTAAGATATAAATTTTGAATTATTGGATTACTATCATGAGATTAAACACTTGGGGATTATCACTTGTAATCAATTATCTGAAGAAGAAAAAAAACGTAAAGTCCAAAATGTGTCGGAACCAATAAATATTTTGATTTCGACATTTTTCTAGCTGTGCGTTTTTTAATAAATTTTTGACAAGATTAATCGCACTTTTTCCAAGACCATTCGCGTTTTAAAACTAGTAATCGCCCACTTTTCTTAATTATTACAAATGTGATTTTCTTTTTCTCGCACATCTAATCAAAAACATTAAGTAAATTTCAATACGCTAAAAAATACAGTTAATTCGCTTATTGAAACAATAAAAGCCTATAAAAAATACAATAAAAATTTCATTTTCCCTTGACTTTCCTTTTGATACTTAAAAAAAAAGTAAAAAAAAAGAACAGAAAAAAAATTGTATATAAAAGATAAAAACATTAACATACATTAAAATGCGTTAATTCTGGAAGAAGTCTTAGTTGACAACCACAGCACGCACTCTTCGAAACAATTATCGTAGATTTAATTTCTTATATAAAATAAGTAAGAAGAAATATACCGGCATTACTTTGGTTGTTAATCAAGGTCACCTTCCTACCTAGCCATAGTACGGTACTAAAGCGAAGTATATCGATCGTTTATTCATTCATCGTTTCATCGATCCAGACATTCGCATTTTTCTTTTATATTTGCCTCAGATTTTTATTTCTTAATATTTTCTAAACAAATAAATAATTTATCGTTCTTTACTACAATCAAGATTCATTATATTACCTTATAAAAACCAAAATACTATTTAAACATTGTTTTTTGGTAAAGTATAAAGTACATCAGTCTACATTAATTATTAAGCCTTTACTTACCATTAGCAATAAATATATATGAAAAAATAATTTTCTACTTGTAAATAATTAAAGTGGTAAGAAAAATTAATTTTTTTCACTGATTAATTGTAGAACCATTTCACAATAAAAAAAACTCTTACAACGAGCAAATCTTACTTCCCGGCATAACGATCAATAAGACAGTGATTAAAAAAAAAAAAAAAAAAAAAAAAAAAAAAAAAAAAGACTGCTAATGCATTAGTGACACTAATACTCATGATGTTATTAATCAATCAAGCAAATACAAAGTGATCGATAAAAAGTGCGAAAGCCTAAGGTGACCAAATTGCAAGGCGGATCAACGCAGAACTCGTGCGTTTCCACGCGCGCAACAATGAGGAATTGGATAATCGGAATTCGAAGGGGCGGGCAATTCAAGTAGCAACGGTCTCACACTATCTTGAGCGTAGAGTTCGATGTCAAGGGGACGGGTCACGCGACGTTCGTCGCGCTCGTATTCTCCTGCTCTCCCCAGCCCTCGCTGTCGCACTCGCTCTCCGATGCCGAGTCACTGTCGCTGAACTCCACGGCGACCCGCCGCGCAAGAATCGATGCCACGTCGTTCAATGCATTCACTCGCTCCACCTCCTTTTGCTCGATCTTCTCCACTTTGCGCAACTTAATACCTGGACAAAGAAACAAAACAAAACAAATAATAATAATAATAATAATAATAATAATAATAATAATAGAGATCAATCAAGTTCCAACTGTTTAATACACAGTCTCTTTCATTTCGATGGAAATGAGATAGACATTCGTCCGCTCATGGACACCTGCTAAATTGACTTGCGCATCCCTTTTGTTCCGAGAGCGTGTACATTGCTCTCAGACAAAATAGGAATGCTTGAGAAGACCGTTTTAATTAATGGCTCTAGTTTGGAAAAACGGGAGTAATATTTTTTGCCCTCGAGTTACGTATAATTATTCAAGATCGGTACAGCAAGCGATAAATTTACCGTCTCTTATAGCCTTGAGTAGGTCGTTCCTAGGATCAACGGGTGCGGGTAAGTTCGGATTGTTCGGCTTCCTCAGTTGGCCGTCCACGATGCTTTTGAGGGGCTTGAGTTTCGGTGGGTTGTTTACTATCATCTTCGCGATATCCCCATTCGTTATGGGCATTTGAGGCGCGAGGGGTGGTCCATTGGAAATGGGCGGGGGTGGCGGTGGGGGTGGCGGGGGTGGTATATTGCAAGGCGGCGAGACGGGCCGTGGAGGAGCTGGATCAGGGGTCGGCGGCGGTGGTGGCAAGTCCTGGGGTACGGACTCGGTCTCGTCCGTGCCTATCGGCATCATCTGCCCCAGATGAACGCTGGCAACCGTCGGGGTGGATTGGTGATTCGGCAGCGGACTGTTCGAGCGGCTGCCGTTTCTGTTGAGCAAGTGTGACGGTAGCGTTCCTAATAAATATGAACAAAAATTTAGATTATGCTGGAGATATTTTCGTATTATGTACAATGAAACATTATCAATCAACGAAAAGGTAATCAACGAAACATGTGTCAAATTGATTATTGAGATAAGAATTATATTAAGTACATCTAAATTATTCGACAGATTAAAGCAAATATATAATGTTACGAAATTTAACATACGATAAATAAATATATCTACGTTTATTTTGAACATAAAGTTTTAAAAGTTTTAAGGAATTTGAAACGATGAATTTTTAAGAAAATCATTTGAAAATATTATATAGATAATACTAAAAATATGTTCACACATAAAAATTCGACTATTGGAGAATATTATTAATAATGAAATTAGACTTATGACATTGATTAAAAAAAAAAAAAAAAAAATATATATGTAATGACAAACTCGAAACAATATACTAAGGCTGGCTATTTAGATTTTCATGGATTGAAATTGTTGAGTAATATTGTTATTCGTAATTTATCGATCAGACGAGTAAACTCTGTTGAGTCATTGTTTAATCGCTATTATTGCTGGCTATTTTTATTATAATTAATTGAATTATCATCAATCTCAATAACATTCTCATACGTTTTCAAGTGAATCCTCTTTAAAACGATGATTGTCGAAAGAGTAATAATACTTGGTGCGAGTTGTAATAATGTTTTCCCGCTACGATTCGAATCATTGGCCATAGGCGGATAATGTAAATAATTAGTTTATTATGCGTTTGAGGACTGCGATGAGCAATGCAAATTATCCGTATGAGAAAAAACCGACCGTTCATAGAAGGCGGCGACATGGGTTCTCCAGGAGGTGGCGGAGGTGGTGGCAATGTATCCCTGCCGGTACTCATAGATCTGCCTCTCGTCGGTGTATTATTCGCTGAGGCTATCGTCGGGGTGGAGTTACTAGACGCGTTGCTAGGCGGTGCAGGAGGTGGCTGGGACGGTCGACTTCTTCCAAATCTGTTCGGCGTCCCCGGGGCTCCAGGGCTCTGGTACGTGTCGCTGCCAGATTGTCCTTGACCCGGAGCGTAATGGGATCCGTAGGCACTGTCCTCGTAGCCTTGAACCTGTTCAAACAAGTGTAATGCTTTATTTTTATTTCTTATCATTGAAAATGTCCGTATACGTCCCTACCAATTAGCCAATGTTAAAAATAATTGTTAAATACATAAAACGCGAAAAAATTTAGAGAATTCGAACAAGGGATATCATGCATGTGCAATGGATACAGTAGATAAAACGCAGTTTTACTAAGCCGATGCATAGAAAATCCTTAAACAGCGGTGTAATTATTAACAAGACTGTAAATTTATGTATAACGACGTAGTGTAAGTTACTCATAATAAAGGTACGCTAAAGAAACGACATGGGATTTTTTAATTCTTTCTTTTTTTTTTTTTTTTTTTTTTTAAAGGAACATGGTCCGTTCAACCATTGAGAGCCACTTGTGATAAAAAGTGAACTAAAGCAGCGTTATATGGAGCCAAGTAAGAAAATAGAGAGAAAATAGTCATTCGTGAGATTAAGACGTTTATCCAAGAAAGTTGCAACGCTCGGAGTGGACGTGCTCCGACTCGCTTAAGGTACAAAGGGGCCCGACAAAGGCCATAAGCCAAGATCGGACAAGGAAATCCACGGGACCCACCTGTCCGGTATAGTTGGCCGCGCGGTAATGCTCGGACATTGGGGGACTGTAGATCTGGTGCTCCTCGGGCGGGTAGCTGCGCCTGAGCTCGATGCTGTTGGGCCTCGGGGGCCTGGGCTCCGTCATCACCATTCCGAGGAGTGCCTCGTCCGGGATGCCGTGACTCGACCTGTACTGAATGCCCTGGGACGGCATTATGTACTCGCCATGGCCGACGGCGATTTGCCGCTGGCGCTCACGCGTATTGTGGGGCTGCCTCACGCGCTTCTTGTGCCGGCCTCCGCCGCTCCCGCCTCCGTCGTTCCGAGGCCTGTGGGGCTGTTGTCGCCGAGCGAGAAAGGAAAACGGTTTTTGAGGTTAGACGGTGCACTGCGCATCTGGCTGCCGGCGATCGCTCGCGCCAGCACCTCTCGCCCGTACGGGAAAATTGTGCAAGCTCAACTTGGGATAAATTGTGAGTGTTGGTGAGTATGGGGTGGCGGTGGTGGTGGTGTTGGCGGTGATGGCGGCGGAGGGGAGAGGGGAACTAGCGGATGACTGCTCGAGCGCATTCCTATTGGCCTACAACTTTGCTCGGGCAACGCATTTCAATGTAGCTAGTGCAATAGCGAGTGCACGGGTATCGAATCTTTAAGCATACGTTAAAAGGAAAAAGGCGACTCGTTTCTTCCTCGCCTATGATCGATTGTAATATTCGCGCTAAGTGCATCGATCGATTCAGTCGAAAGTGCTTGAAGAAAACTTCTTAAAAGCTCGGTTAACATTCGCCCACTTGTTAGTCTCACTCGTTTAAATTGCGTCGACTCAAGAACATTTCGAACGAATCGATTAACGCTTCGTGTTTAAAACAATGCTCGCTTAAAGCTACTTTCTCTCCACGTAATGCGCTTTCCGAACAAGCTTTTGAACTAAAATGTCGTTGCAAATGGCGCGGCAATATTATTATAATTATTGCGGCAATTAAGGCATAAATCGTTTGTTTTTATCCGTCTAAATATTAAAATTGACAGCTACACTTTCACAAGAGTGGTGGTATAAAATTGTATGTAAAAATTGTTTTACATCCAAGGAACAATGAGCAATTATTCGCCTTTTGATAATACAATCAACGAGATAAAAAAAATCCATTTATTACGGTAATAATAAATGATATTAGAATTAGATCCGTTAATTAATATGATTCTGAAATTTATTGAACTGGATATTGCGTGCCAATGTTTGTACCGAACGTGTTCATTATTTTAATATTTATTTTAATATTTTTTACGTTAAAAAGTAATGAATTGTTGGGAATATAATAATGGCTAATCAATAAAATGTGCCCCTAGCAGTCATCGATTAGTTCCGTAAGCGGAGATTTTTTTCCTAGAAAATGAAAATAGTCATTTCTCCGCAGTTCAATTACGTAGCTCTTAACGATCAATTAATTGTGTTGGACACTCGTTTTGGCTTTATAGATAGAAATTCTTAAAAAAAAAAAAAAAAAAAAAAAAAAAAAAAAAACCATGACTAATTCAATTTCCTTGATGCAAGATGGTAACAAAGAGGAGAAGGTACAACAACAACAAGAAGAAAAAAATGAATTGATGAATATCTTTTCTCCTATCGTGTATGTGTCACTGATGATAATGAAATGTGAATAATGTTATGACTATTTAATCATTATTTACAGCCACATGATATATCCATAATAAGGAGTTGATGAATTAAGAAGGGAATTTTAATAGAAAAGTATGTATAAATATATATATATATATATATATATATATAAATACACATATATATAAATATACACACACACATAAATATATGTATGTATGTATAATAAAATGCATAATTCATTAGCTAAAACTATGATAGCAATATCTAAGAGTAATCTGAAAGCGAGCAGCTAGAGCAACTCTTTATCTATGTATTTATTAGCAAAAAAGAAGAGAACACTGGTTAATAAGAAAAACCACGCACACAAAAGGTGAGCTCGAAATAATGTGAGTGATAATAATACGATTAATTTAATTTGTAGAAGAAAAATCTTTTAGATGATGGGGCGTAAAAAAAACTACAAAGATCCAAACCATCGACTTGCCTCTCTGAACGGTTCGGCATATTCGGACTCGGTCTATAACCAAGGGGAGAGTTTATATTGTTAACACATTATTTTACAATAATTCTGTTATATTGATTTAGTATTTAGAACTTTTGGCATAAATTAATAGCTTCTGGATACCTCAAGGAAAAATTTTCTATCGTTTTTCGAATTAATCGCGAGATGAATTTAATTGCTCGTAAATATTGAAAGATTAAATATTACAATGAAATTGAAAATTTTTCCTATTGAAATATACATAAAACTGTAATAAATAAAAGCTTGTCCATTGATATTACCTTCTTTCCTCTGTCATGCAATTTCTTTTCAGTATCCTTGAGCATCTCCTGACTCCATAAATCGAAAAAGTAATTGGGATCGGTATAAAACTTTAAGCCATCTTTTCCGTCGTCCCTAAAAATAGAAAATTCATGATAATGTGCATGATCGCATCAAAGAGGATTTATCGATCGAAAATTTACAGCATTACAGCACGTTATGAACAGCAGACAAATCTATTTTTTGATAAAGATATATGTCGAGTCATTTGAGAAAAATAAAGTTAAATAAAGTAAAATTCTTTTTCATTTTATTTTCTAAAATTTTAAAATACTTACACTTTCGCGTGAAAATGAGCCTTAATAGAATTAACGATAGGTAATGTAATTAAATTTTAGAGAAATTTTACTATTGATTCGATACTTACGACGAGTAAGGAGTTAAGAGTCTAGAGGATAAGTTTATTAATCTGATATTTTCATAAATGTCTATAGTTTTATAATGATTAAAAACAACAAATTTGGCTTTTGCAACTATTTATAAGGTAAAAAAGGAAAATCATTTACTCATATTAAAACTTAAATAGAGAATGTTATGTTAGAAAAAATAAAGAAGTATATTAACTTTTCCAAGCGAAATTTAATTCAACTTTAAAATTCACAGTAAAGAATTACTTATCAGATTATCGTTCCTATTTAATAAGCCAACAATTTTATTGTAAAATGACCAATTAAACCACATAAGTAAAGAATAATTTCTAAAAGAAACGAAGCGAATCGATTAAGATACAGAGAAAATTTGCATTTCCACATTGCTTATAAATAAATACATAAATAAAATAGTCGTAGCACCTGTAATCGTTCAACTTGTTAAGTGGTGGTGGAGAATCACACAAATGGTAAGTTTCCATCATGGCGGTTGGCATTGTGTCCCTGGAGACGACTTGCTGATCGAAGACGACTGAACTCTTAAAGGCTTTCCTCATGTGAATGTCTTGAAGCGAAACTAAAACGAGTAAACAGAGATTAGTTAGTCAATGTATTGGCTGAGAAAGTTCAAGCGGATTTACCAAAGTGAACTAAGTTTGCAGTTATCTGTTTCAACAAGTGAAACTTATTTGAGCAATTAAATTGTACTTGTAATTATAACTATTTTTAATGACATTTTAACCAACCGATACTATATTATTTTCAACGTCTTCACGCAATTTCTTCTTATTCATATTCATACATTTATTGTTTTACATAAATTTCCTATCTAAACATAAAAAATTGCACGATTTTCCTTTATTTATACACGACACCACATTATATGTAAATTTTTTGTTCAAAATTAATTTTTCATTAAAGAAAACTTTCAAATTAGTCGATTAAATGCAAAAATGAATGAAAAAATTAAAAAACAAAACAAAAAATGTCAATAAGCTTTACGTTCTGACTGACAGTTACGTAAAAACCAAACTTCTTATTGTTGTGTTAAGCATACGTTGCTCTCAATTTTAAGGAAATTAAAGCAATTCTTAAAGAAAGAACATAATTCTTATTCCGATAAGAAGTCGTTAGCTTTAGGTTTAGATTAATTACTCCGATAAGTGAGTGTAAAATGTTAATGCTTGCTCGATAACTATAAATTTTCCTGAAATTTCGACAATGCACAGCATTGCAAAAATAAAGTTCTACTAGAGCTACAAATCACTGCACCGCCTGAATTTCACAAACTGTCTATTATTAACAAGGATACTTTACGATAAACCGAATAGCCACTATAAGCGAAAGCTCTAATAACGCTGTTTTTTTCATGATCCTTGATATAGAGATGATGGTAGCAGAATATATTTGGAGCGAGTCCACTCACCTTCTTCAACGTTACTATCGAGCTGTATGACCTTCACGGCGAGCCTGTCGATCCTGGCCTGGAGCGAGTTGGCCCGGTCGCTGAGGCCGTGGGCCTCTTTCGCGAGCTCGCCGAACAGATCCTCAGCGTGCCTCGAGAGGCTCGACAGTTGCCTGATGGTATTGGCGAGGGTGCCGTTGGTGACGGCCTCGAGCTCCGAGGGCAGGGGGAAGTCTTCGGGTATGGTGCCACGGGCCACATGCACTGGCTCGACGACCCTCTTGGGCAGCGGCATGGCTCACCCTGATGTACCCCGACGGGGCCTCACGAACCCCCCGGGCTCTGGCTCCTCCTCCTCCTCCTGCTCCTCCTCCTCCTCCTCCTCCTCCTCCTCCGCCGGCGACGGCTCACCGATCTCGTGAAACCTGCGCCATAAACAGACGAATTCGTTGTAAAATGATTGGCGCCGGCGACGGCTCACCGATCTCGTGAAACCTGCGCCATAAACAGACGAATTCGTTGTAAAATGATTGGCCAGCTTTTGCAGTTAAGAAATTAACAAGAGTGAACGTGAAATTCTATGATCATTCATCGTCTCGTTACACGCCAATCTTCGGCAATTTATTGAACATTACTATTTATAATAATAATTAATTAAAAAATAAAAATTCGTTTTTCTAACTTGCACCCTCCATGATGAAAAAAACGTAGAAAACGAGATGTTTTATTATTTCGGTAATAAATATTACATAATGGAAACAATCTTCAGGCACCGTGGTAGTTATTAAATTGAAGAATCGTCTTTTCATTAAATTGTTACGGATACGTTGGTATAACAATTAATCTACTTCTAAAGATAATGGCTGTTCAAAATCCAAAGGAACGCATTCCAGTATTTATATTGCCTTAACAGTACATCAGTCTATTAATAGCATATAATCATACGATATTTATATTTTACGTAATTATAAGTATTATGAGATATGACCTCTTAAGTTTATATTAATAATCGACAATTCTACCGACAACTGGAACAATATCTAATCGATACATCAAATCGCCTAATCAACATCGTTATCACATTATCTTAATTATCATTTATATTTTATTTATCGGTGTATAAAAATTACATCGTCTGTATTATGTAAATAAATTAATAGAAAGTCCCCTTGGTTAAGGCACAGTATGACAAATTGCAAGATTCACATGTTTTCTATATGTTTGATTATAAGTCACTTTTATTTTATCTTCTTTATATAAACAGAGGTTATGTATACGCAATAATTATCTCTCGTATGAAAATTGCTAAAAGTGATAGTTTGTAAAACCAGAAAGTCTCAATATTATGGCTTGCAATGAATAAAATATATAAATATTAGAGAATAAAAATATATTGTTTTAAAGATGTGATTGAGACAACAAATTTGTAATTGAATTGTCAAAACGGCGCTTACGAGTGTAAATGTCCGATGAAAATGTTTCTATTATCAAAGCTATCATATTATTATCAATGCGAATGATGCACACTTTTAAAATATAATACATCGAGTTCTGCCTATTTGCTCAAAGTTCTATTGTGAATAATAATCGAAGCTATTGTGGATCGTAACATTATTTATTTTAGCCTGTAAAATTGTATTTTTAGCAGATAATAGTAGGATACTGCGGCTGCACACTGCTTTCCAGCATTTTATATTATACACGAATAATAACTCTAAATTCTCTTCTTTAAGCTCCTTTTCGTCACTCATAACGAATTTTTATACTCTTATTAATCTCATAAAAAAAAAAAAAAAAAAAAAAAAAAAAAAAAAAAAATTCAAAAAAAAATTCAAGAAAATTGTAAAATATTTACTCGGAATATATTTTTAAGTATTTCCTATGTTAAGCAATTGTGTGAGAAGGAATTTATCTCACGAGTACTTAATCGAGATAGATTAAGTATATTTTAAAACGTACAATCAAAACGATTTAATCTAAATCTCTACGAATGAAAGACGTTTTATCCAAGAGGGATGCCATCCCCGCCACATGGCACAAGGATTACGGGCGATGGCTGACTCCGCTGTATTAGGTCGAACGGACGAATTTTAACCTCGACTATCCCCGGTTGGATTATTTATTCACGATCTACGATACCCAACAATAAACCACTCTCCATTAGGCATTAAATTTCTCTAGAGTCCGGGTGCTCGAGTATCAGCAGCCCATCGCTCGAGTCGCAGCAGAACTTCGATGAGTCAGAGGCGCGAGCGCCGACTTATCGCTCGCCCATGCCTCGGCCTCCTCGATGGGTGCGCTCCCACGCGTGGCCGAGGGTGGGGCGCGTGCGTTGGCCTTGGCCGTTTCGCTCGTGCGAGCGGTTGACGCTGGGGCTTGGGTGCTAAGACACGCCGCGTATTCGCTCGCGAGTAACCTGGACGCCGATAAGCCTCCGGTCCCAGCTACAGCATCTACCTTCATAGCCAATTGTCCTTCGTGATGGGACCTGATGATCGCTGGCCCAACTCCAGCCGATCACACTCGGATGCGTGTGAAGTACACGCGCTTCACTCGATATCAATGACTCGACGTTTATAATTGAAGGTGCAATGATGTAGACGACGCCGTTCATGTCTAAATGAGTGAATGTTGACGTTTTTGTCTTCGCGAAACACGCGTTGTCTATTCTTTTAATAATTATCTTACGCTTATCGTTATTAATTTATCAGTACATATTCTCGATTAAATAATTTACAGTCCCTTATAAATATAAAGCAACACCGTCTCATTCGAATTTATAGGTAAAACGCAAGGACAACGAAGATGACAAGTTATACGTGTGACAAAACATACATACATACATACATACATACATACATACATACATACATACATACATACATACATACATACATACATACATACATACATACATACATACATACATACATACATACATACATACATACATACATACATACATACATACATACATACATACATACATACATACATACATACATACATACATACATACATACATACATACATACATACATACATACATACATACATACATACATACATACATACATACATACATACATACATACATACATACATACATACATACATACATACATACATACATACATACATACATACATACATACATACATACATACATACATACATACATACATACATACATACATACATACATACATACATACATACATACATACATACATACATACATACATACATACATACATACATACATACATACATACATACATACATACATACATACATACATACATACATACATACATACATACATACATACATACATACATACATACATACATACATACATACATACATACATACATATATGGCTGTACGTTCATGTGAGAACATTCAGGTGCAAGATACAATAAACGTGGTTAAATTTTTTTTTCAGATAATTTGGATTCTTTGAAATGTGTAGTAGAGCTAAGGTGAAAACACCGTGCAACGGACGTGGAATATTTAATAAGGGAGGAGCGCTCGTTGCTCCTTGCGTGACTAATCGTGGAGATGAATAACAATAGGGGACGCGATTATCCAAAAGTAAGAAATAACGAGATCGCACGTATGGACTTGGTGTTATCGGGGATGGGGTGCGAGGTTGTGAGATTGGGCTGGGATAAAATATAGGTTAGGATAATCTCTAGTTGGCGTGATATTAGTTAGATAGGTGCCCTGTCCCCATCCAATGACTTCATCTCTCCAAATTTCATTTCCTTCGGTATTTCTTTTGGGAGATGCCACCAGTCTCGCGGATCTTACCTTCGATGTCACAAGCTGAATATCTAGGAGTTCCCGACCACATGGAAACACATGGGCGTCGACAAACCGACAGTGTCTGGCAATATCGAGGGAAGCCGAGTGCTCACAAGTGTAATCTAACGTGGGTGAATAAAAGGGTCTCGCGTAGGGAGAAATAATTTGTCCTACTTCAATTCGCACTATAATAAGTTGACTGTACTTTCACTTCTTGCTTCAAAGAATATTACGGTAAATTTCTTTGAATACCGTGAAAAAAATTTACGGCCACTTTTCACAAACGATAAATTCTAGCAATGTATTAAGAATGGTATTTAGAGAAGATGATAATGCATTAAAAACAAGGCAGTTGTACCTAGATTATATAATTTCATTGTGTAATTACAGCTGTTGTTTAAGAAAAAAACCTGGAAATGAGCTTAATATGAAGTTTGAAATAAAACGTGGTAAACAATGTCTACGTTACTTATCGATGGGACATGGAAGGCCAAGATTTATGCGTACGATTAGTTATTTTATGACTTCAATTGACTCAATTACTTTAGGAACAAATATTCCAAGTAAGCTGCATATTGCTTTCAATTTCTCTTTCATAGTGATAAGATCGAATAAAGATGATATATATGATATAATATATGATACCTATCAATATTTTCATCATTATTTTATATTTTCTCCATGATTAAAATAACAATCATGTATTTTGCTCGGTTTTTTTTTCTTTTTTAATGACAAAATAAATGCCTGAAATGAATTGAATTATAACTTTTATGGCGATAATAGTCGAATCATTGTTTCACTTTAATTTACAACTACAAGGAGCTTCAGAAATCAAAAAGCAAAAAAGAAAAAATACAACAACGCCGAGTAGATTGTGCTTACAACAAATGAGAAGTAAACATAGTGACGAAGTAAATTGCATTTGAATATTCGAGCCTTGGATGAGATAACGACTCGAGCGTTAGCTCATTCGTCTATAAATCTGCGGGGTTTGTAAGCTGTAAATAGTCAGCGACGTTGTTTTCTACGTGGCTCCTCATAAATTAGGGGAATTGGCGAACCGGTCGATTTAAAAGTGGGCGATCAGGCTCGTTTGCTCTTAGCGAAAGCGCGCCTTCTCGCACCCACCATCGATCACGTACTTTTATAAGATCAAGCGAATTGCTTACGCAGGACTCGCACGACGACGGTTGTGCGCACACATGTTCGCGACATCTGCCCCCCACCCCCAGCCTCCCTACATCCAACCCGGAAATTAAACATTCGTAGCTTGGAAATACTTTTCGATAAGGAAGCTATTCAATGGGCGTGAGAGATAGTAGAAGAGAAAGGGAGAGCGCATCAATTTGACAGCATGTCGAGTATACAATGTGAATATAGACCGAACGAATGATAAAATTTCGTAAGAAGTTTTAAAAGTTGGCTTTAAAATCAGCTTTTCTTTTTATCGAGAGAAAGCACATTTTGTGACGAAATTTTCCTAACGAATAATGATAATTTTTATACTTTTGCATGGACATTGAAAAATCTTAACTTCAAACCTCATAACTTTGGCCATGAATGT